GGTGTCAGGGAAGTCTTCCAAGCAAGGTTTTTAAAGACAGGAAGGAGGGAGGACATTCCAGGAAGGGAGAAGAGGTTACTCAAAGGTGCAGAGGGGTCAGTAGAACAGTGTGTTTGGGGAATTCCAACAGCGAGGCCTAGGGCGCCTGTGGGGATGAAAGGAGACCAAGTATTACCTGGACATAGATTGGACATGGAAGTGGGGGGTAGGAGGTCCAACCTGGACAAGCCGACTCTTGGGCTGACACTGACAGCTATGAAGACACATGTAGGCCATGATCACAAGGACCATGACCTCTTGGGCCTTCTTCCACGGCCACATGCACAAGGCAGCAGCCACACACAGTTTTTTCTTTTCTTTCCTTCTTTTTTTTTTTTTAAATATATTTTATTGATTTTTTACAGAGAGGAAGAGAGAGGGATAGAGAGCTAGAAACATCGATGAGAGAGAAACATTGACCAGCTGCCTCCTGCACACCCGCTACTAGGGATGTGCCCGCAACCAATGTACATGCCCTTGACCGGAATCGAACCTGGGACCCTTCCGTCTGCAGACCGACGCTCTATCCACTGAGCCAAACCGGTTTCGGCAACCTCACACAGTTTTCAACCTAAAACACCTCTTTTCCATTTTGGTGGCTGCACATTTTCAGTGGTGACTGTTGACATGCAAAAGAACTGACCTTGCGAAGGGCAGGAGAGCAAGGGGACCCACTTGATTTTATGAAAAGAACTGATTGTTCTTTCCCGGAAGGACATTCACCATGTTCCTCTTTCGCTGGGACAACGCTTTGTTACCCAGCTTGTGGCTTTCCGCTGCGAGTTAAATAGACGATTGCAGATCATCTTGTATCCTCCAAAGTATGCCCTCACTAAATAGTGACTGACTGGCCAACGCTATCAGGCATTTGATACATTTAAAACCCGAGCTGAGTATGAACTCCGTTGAATCTGTCACGTTTGAGGAAGTCTTTGTTTACAAATGAGTACCATCTGTGAACACTCATTTGTATGAATCAGCCATGTTTTCCACTTAGCGCTGTAAAAAGAATATTAGAATGCTAACTGCTAGCACTATTAGGTGAAGAACATTCCCTTTGTACAGTACAGTGCGTGGCATGTGTCTGAGTAGTGTTTGTTGAATCAAAGAACAGTTTATTAATAGCTTCTAATCAAGGCCTTTGATTTTTTTTTTTTTTTTTTTTTAGCACTTCTTTATTTTCAGCTTTTACCTTATAGAGAAGTACTGCCCAACCGTTACAGGATTTAAGTCACATATGTAATTTCATATCTTTCGGTATCCAAATTGAAAAGGTAAAAAAGAAACACTTGAAATTAATAGCATATTTCTTGTAACCCCACATATCAAAATATTAGCATTTCAATATATAATCAATATAATATTAAAGAGATACCTTGCACTCTTTTCCTACCCAGGCATTAAAATTCTGGTTTGCATTTTATTTTGGCAAACGTATCTCAATTCAGATGAATCATTTTCATCAGACATACTTGATCTGCATTGAGATTTCAGAATATTTAGAGTTAAGAAGTTAGATTCGTGGATCTGAGTTTTTCTAACATATGTTAAGTGTTTCCAATAACTGAATAAAAGATCAGCTTGTAAATGGTTTATAATGAAGCCACATTAAAAATTCCGTTCCTTGGTGACATGTCAAGCGCTCAGTAGCCACAGGTGGTCCTATACAGGACAGTAGCACCAGAGGATTCTGCTTCATAAAGTGCTGGGAAGCAACACTCTTCCAGCATTTTCCGTGTGAGTGTGGCACCCTCAGATCTTGTTTTCTCAGCATTTCAGTTCCCTCTCCTCCCCGAAACCTTTGTGACCCCAACACCTTAGGTTTGAAACCTCTAAATTCAACATGCCACATTTGGCTAATACGCCTAAAGAAAATGACTCAAACCTTCAAATAAAATACTCCTATTGCCATGTCTTCCTAGTCACAGGCACAAGAAGCTGTACGTAGTGACGTAAGAGAACGTTGCTTCTGAGCGTGCTCATTATTAAGTAAGGGCGATGGCCACCCAGCTCTGGCTCAGCCACACTGCCTCCTGCCATCTCAAGGGGCAGAGCGCGCAGGCAGGGGCACATTCTCCTTTTCAAGAACATGGTGCCCTTTTCTAACCTGTGCAGAGAGAATGTCCATTATGTAACAAGCCCACAATGGCAGGCATGACTTATTTGAATGCCATTTTTTAATAAAGCTGTTTCTAGTCTGTTTTGTGAACCAGAGTTGAGTTACCCATCCAATGAAGACTCCCTTTGAATGTAGCTCTGCTGTTATAAAATCTTTTCTTTTCTTATAGGTTGATTTAAAAATTAAGTATCCCGGACTGTTGTTATGTGATTTTCAGTTCAGGTTCCATATGTGAACACAGTGTAGCACATAAAGCTAGGGAGTTTGCCCATAACTTGTTAAAAAATATATTTTTCTTTGTTTTCAGAGAGGAAGGGAGAGAGAAGGAGAGAGAAACATCAGTGATGAGAGAGAATCCTTGATCGGCTGCCTCTTGCATGCCCCACACTGGGGATCAAGCCCGCAACCTGGGCATGTGCCTTTGACCGGGAATTGAACCATGACCTGGTTCATAGGTTGATGCTCAACCACTGAGCCACACCAGCCAGGCTGCCCATGACTTTTAATGCACCCTTTAAAGTCTTGGGAGCCACTGTACGGGACTCCTGGCTACTCCGTGGAGCTCTGTCTCTCATTAACCTGATGCATCACAGGTATAATGAACCTTACAGCGTAAACACTACCACACATCACAGTTATCTTGTGGACGCTACGAGACGGTCCATCTGTGATGTTGACTAAGTCAACTGAATGGACTTTTGTAAAAATAAAGATGCTTGCCTGGGCCAATACAACAGAAAAGACATGGGATAATATGCGAATGGGCATTGACAAGCAAAACCCACGCTGTCAGTGGAAGGAATGGTCACATTCCCAAGGGATTGAACATCCTTTCACGAATCCTTGTTTATTCCCCCCTGGTAACAAGGGGATCTGGGGCGGCTCGCTGTGCTGCTGACACTGAGCAGCCCCTCTACGCAGTGGCCACTCTGGTTAATCAGAAAAGCCCAAGCTCTGCCCTGGCAGTCTCAGTGCATCTTGGTGATTCAGGGTGTCGGCAGAGGAACGGTGGAAGCCTGGCGTGCCCAGGCGCTCGCCATAATCCAGTTTGCAGCCCGGCAGTTCCACAGCCTGAACGGGGTTTGCGGGGTGGCGATCGACATCAAAGGGATCTGTGACTTTTATTGGCTTTGTGAAACTGGGAGGTGTTTACAAGACCCAGGGCTGAAGAAACTCATACATAAATGGTGTTCCAGAAGGGACTGTATCCTGGATCTCTGCATTTGCTATTTTTAGGTCTTTTGGAACATGTTGTAAGGGGCAAGGGTTGACTTTTCAGAAGCTACCTTTAATAAGATGGGATAAAATCCATCTGGTGCAGGGTTCTTTTTCCCCCCCAAAATGGGTGGACTTCAGGAGAGAGGCGGAATTGCCCATCTTGAGAGTCTCATTGGAAGCTTATAGAAGTGGCTTAAAAATGAGATCTATCCCCTTCTATTGCTTATTTTATCTACTCGCCCACCCAGGAAAGGAAGTGAACGGGAAATATTGGAAGGATGGGGCCGAGTGTGCAGAACGTAAGCTCTCAAGTAAGACAGAAAAGCCTTTCTGGACTGCCCCTGGGCCTCTCAGCAATGTGAGAAGTGGCAGGTGGGCGGGCCAGGGGAGGAAGCCACCTGGAGAAGGTAGGACAAGGCCCAAATCAGAGGCTGCTCTCCTCTGTCTGACCAACTGTCCCCAAGACACTTCCTTGTGTCCCAGGAAGTGACGACCAGCCCCTGTAAATGTCGTGACTCCTGGGGGCACCCAGTATGGGGGGGCTGCGGTGGGCACCGGGTGACCTCTTCCACGGTCCCCATTCCTAAGGGGTCACCTGGGTGAGCTGCCTGGCCTGCGCCCCAGCTGGCGCCGCTAAGGGCTTTTGTGCCCTGTGCCCACTATTAGGGTGACCCTGACTGCACAGGCTTCCTGCAGAGGGGGCTGAGAGAAGGCTCTGCAGAGGGGGCTGAGAGAAGGCTCGGGGAGGGCAATGATTTGGGGAAGCCTGACATCATGGGGCAAAGGAGGATTTGAGGACTGGAGACCCCGAGGTAGCAGGTCGGGGTGCAGGGCCAGGGTCAGATGCATCTATAATAATTCCCCCCCACCCCCCAACGAAACGGACAAAAAAGGGACCAGCGTCCCCCCTGTCCTCCCTCTGGCAAAACCCAGACGCAGGCTCGGAGACAGCCGTGCTCGGCGGGGAGGGGGGGTGGGGTGCGCGGGGGGGACCAAAATAAACGGGAGGGAGGAGGCGGCCCCGCATCCCTAATGAGGGAATGAATGGAGAGGCCCCGCGGCTGGCGCCCGCCCACCCGCCGGCCGCCGCCAAGTGGCCGGGGCGCTGCGAGCCGCGCCCGCCTCCTCCCGGCCCCGCGGCGGCGCCGAGCGCGGACCCAGGCGGGACGGCCCCGCGCGCGGCTGCGGCACGGCCCGCGGGCGCCGCTCTCCCGGGCGGGGCGCGGGGCGCTGTCGGGGCCGCGCTCGCCGGGCCGCCGATCGCAGGCGCGGGTTCACCTTGGGCCATGGCCCCGGGAGCCTAGCGGGGCCCGATCGCCGCCCCCCGGCGCCTCCGCCCGCGGCGCCGCACCCGCCCGGAGCCCGGAGCCCGCCCGGAGCCCGCCCTCCCCGGCGCCCGCGTCCCCGGCGCCGCCGCCGCCGCGGGCAGCGCCCCCTCCCCTCCCCGCCCCGCGCGGCCTCTTCCCCGCTCCGCGCCGGGCCGCCGCCTGCACCGCCCGCCGCGGCCTGCGGGAGCGCCGCGCCCGGCCTCGGCCCGCCTCCTGCGCCCCCGGAGCCCGCACTCAGCCCGGCCCGGGGTGGTGGTGGGGGGGGGACCCCGGCCCGATCCCGCCGCCCGCGCAAGATGTCGGCCCGGACGCCATTGCCCACGGTGAACGAGCGGGACACGGAGAACGTGAGTAGCCCCCGGACCGCCCCGCAGCCGCGCGGCCGGACACCCCCCCCCCCGCCCTGCGCCCCGGGCCGCCGAGCCCCCTCCATCGCCCCCCCGCGCCGCCGGCTCTGCGCTCCGAGCCCCCAGATCTCAGCCCCACGCTGCACCCCGACCCTCCGGCGTGAGGCTGGGGGACTGCGAGAGGCGCTCCCCGCCCGGAGGTGGCCCTGCCGGGGAGCAAAGGGGGTGATGGATGGAGGGCAGAGGCAGGGCTGGGCGGAGTGGGCATCCCGCCCCGGTGGCTTCTCCGCGCCCGGGGCGTCTGCATCCCCGCCGCGGGGCTGGCTCCGGGTCACGGACTCTTATCTCCCACCCTTTTTGCTTTTCTGGGTCTTTCAGTCCTTTGCACGCATCTCCCCCCCCCCTCCTCCTCCTCCCTGTGCCCCCGCCCCCACGCCACCCCCTGCATTGCCCCATGACTTTGCTTTTTGTAGCATCGTGGTCACGCCGCCGGGGTCGAGGTGGAGGGCGAGGATGGCGGCGGAGGGGGGTGTGCGTTTGGTGCACAGAGTTTGCAGAGCGTCTTGCTACTCCTGGGCGGCGATGAGTGGCAGGATCGCACCCACGCTTGGCTTTTCTGTGGCCCCCGGGGGTCACAGCACAATGCTGAAAAAGCCACAGGAAACCAAGCAAGCGCCTGTTCGTGCTTCTCTCCCTCGCGTCTGCGGCGAGAAAGCAGGGAAGGTTTTACTTTAAAGTATCTCCCCTCCTTCGTGGAGGGAGCGTCACAAGGTGCATTTCTTTGAAGGCAGGATTTTCTGCGTCTTGGATCAACTTGCCCTCAGGAGTTTTTTGTGTTTTTTTTTTTTTTCCCCCCCCAGCCAGATGCAGATGTCATTCGTGTTTCCACTCTTGCAAACCAAAGGGGCAAACAAGATCAGTTTGTATTTCCATCTCCTGAGAAGTACAGTTGTTTTGTGCGTGTGTGTGCGTGAGTTCTTTTGTGGGAAAGACTTAAAACAGCAGCAGCAGCAGCAACAACGAAACAACTCTCCTGGCCTGTGAACTTGGGCCTATGCTGATTTTCTGACTTTTTCAAAGGAGCTAAAGGGGTAGTAGCAAGCTTTGGGGGGGCCCGACCAGATCTCTCTAGTTGTCTAGTTAACTCAGGGATCACCCCAGTTCTTGGTATACCCAGGCCTTCAAAGGGTTGGTCAAATAAAATAACGTTCTTAGACAAAAGAAGGAGACAGAAGAGATACAGACTCACCCCACAAGTGTTGGAGGGAGGTGTGGTCAGAGTATTTGATCTTGGAGCGCCTGGGGACCATGAGACTTCATGGGATTATGTGAAGGGAGAAGAGATTCTAGGGTCTTCAGAGCTAGGAGGGTGCTGCAGCGTGCTTTTGTCCTCTGTGGTGTGCGTCTTTGCCATGGCAAAGTCTGCTGCTATCATAAAGGATCATATAATTTGCATCGTAATGGTCCCTATAAAAAAACATGATATATAGTTTTGATGGAGAGATTGAAGGTCAGGGAATAAGACGAACATTTTGATAGAAGTCGATTTGAAAAAGCCACGTTTGGTGCGGACGAATTTTTCTAACGAAAAAGATCCCTGGTAGCGTGTGCGTCATTTCAGTGTGCATGAAAAGTAAGACCTTTATTTTAATTAGCAAAACACCGCGTGTGTTCAGCGACCTCAGACGGGTGGGGTAACACATTGGCTTTATTTTCTTCTGGATTTTGAAATAGTCCACACAGCTCTTGTGTGAATAAGGTAGTTTATACAGACATGAGCTAGCGATATAGAAATAGGAATAATACATCGTCACACGTAAGACCCCCAAAAAGCATTTATAAGCTAAGCAATAATCATGCGATAAATGTTTAGAAAATGATTATGCTGCATAAACTCATTTGCTCTGTTTCCGAACATGTTATTTCAAAGTCACTGTTATGGTCTTGTCCCTTGCTGTCATTGTGTTGCACATAACGGTACCTATAATAAGCTTACTTTACCCACATCCCGATTGCCTCCTAGTTGCCATGGAAAATGTGTTTTATTTTTCTGCAGCCAACTTATCAATAAGTATACGCTCAGCTTTGGTTCTGAGCTGGAAGAGATATAGTAGCAGTATTTTAAGACAAGACCTCTCCCCTCAAGGAACTTACAGAAAAGGCAAATATTCCAAACTCTACAATGGAAACCATTGTGTAAATAGGGCTAACTTGGTGTTTAAGTGCTATAGGTGTTTATCAAAGGGACCACCAATGAAGGTTATTTAAATCACCAATTGGGTCTGGCCAGGTGGTTCAATGGTTGAGTGTCAACCTATAAGCCAGGAGGTCACAGTTGGATTCCCTGGTCTGGGCACATTGCCTTGGTTGTGGGCTTGACCCCCAGTAGCGGGTAGGCAAAAGGCAGTGATCAATGATTCTCTCTCATCGCTGATGTTTTTATCTCTCTGTCCCTCTCTCTTTCTCTCTGAAATCAATAAAAAAATATTTTAAATCACCAATTGGTGCCCCTCATTATCCTCTGGTTGGTAGTAAATGTCATTATCCATTCTTAACTTCCCTCTCATCGATGAACTCACAAACCTGTTTGATCACTAATAGATTAATGCCAGTGCGGCAGTCAACCTACACATTAGTGTTGTTTCCAGTTATAATGACATCTTTTAAAAATTGGTTGTGAAAATTTACATTCATATGACAACCAAGGCTTCTCAGTCTTTTGGAATATTGAGGTCATAGCTAAAATCATTTCATTACTGCCGGAAAGTAAAATAAGCAAATACAATCATTTAAAGAACCATCCTGGCATTTTATTGAAATCATCTGCAGTTTGTATAAAAATTTATTTAGCCATACATAAATGTATTTGGATGTTGTGTCCTTGGGTGTATGTAATATCTACCCATGTCACTAATATATATTGGGGATGAATTTTTAAATTCGAAGAGGAATAGGCTAGCACAGAGCTTCTATAGACAACTGCTGTTTAGAGGGAGAAAGAATTGGTTTTCTGTGGCAACAATCTGTTGGCACTTTTTCAGAAGTATTTTGTTAGGTGAAGGATTCGTATGTGCGTTCACAGGCCTCACGTGGCTAAATCCAACAGCACACCACTGATTCGCTTGGGTGGAATAAGCACTTTATAGTGACATAGATAATATCATGTTGCAGATAATATCATTAACTTATGCAAAATGGGTTTGGTTTTAGATTGTAAAGAGTAAGTCCAGAAAAAGAACAGGTATTTGAAATATTTCTTTTCTTTCTGTTGGATGACTTGGATAATTCCAGCATGAATATAGATATTATAATATATTGCCATTGCTTTTAAATTAAGCAAGAACATTTTTTGGAAAAATACTTCTTTATGCTAATTTTTATGGATCCCAAATGTCCAGACTAGCTTTCTGTGGGGAAATGTGAACAGTATGAAGAAACTGATTTATTTGACTCCTTTTGGGAATGTTTTTAAATGGACTTAGGAAATTTTAAAATGGCCTTTGAAACTCTGACTAACACAACTCTGGATGGTGATTCTGTTTATAGATCTGAAATTCACTGACCGGAACAAGGATTGGCCGAGCTAAGGTGGCCATCAGTAGTTTGTCCCTGGGAATCACTGTTGCTAACCACTCCCCTCGGGATTGCTTAGTACCCTCTCGTGTCACAGTATCTATCACGCTGCATTCTAACTGTGGGTTTATTTGGTCTCCTTCATTCTGCACTTGCCAACGCCCAGCACAGTGGCTAGGAGTAACACATAGAAGATCAGTGCCATAACGTTCCCCTTTGAATTTTTTCATTTGTCATCAAAATATATCAGTTCCTGGCTTTCGGGGTTCTGATTAGATTATGTTAGACCCTAACTCCTCCATGTGCCTTAACTTCTCATTCACTTTTCCCGTGAGTTCCTTGCCTTCCCGCATTGCAGTCTGTGCGATTTGTTTAGACCTAAACTCTGTGGATTTATATCTTTCATTCATTTTGGAAATGCAGCAACCATTATCTTTTTGAATATTGCCTTACCCTTCTATTCTATCTAGTATTTCTCCCTCCCTCCCCCCCCCCCCCCGCCGTGTGTGTGTGTGTGTGTGTGTGTGTGTGTGTGTGTGTGAGAGAAGAGAGAGAGAGAGAGAGAGAGAGAGAGAGAGAGAGAGAGAGAGAGAGAGACATTGATGTGAGAGAGTCACGTTGATTGGTTGCCTCCTGCTGGATCCCAACCAGTCATCAAACCTGCAGTCCAGATATGTGCCCCTGGACCCTTCAGTCCTTGGGCCAATGCTCTAACCACTTAGCAAACTGGCCAGGGAGCCTATATGTATATTAAATTCTCATTCACCTCTTCCCCCATGTTACTGTGTCTTTATTACAATCTATAGTAAAATCTGCAGTATAGTTATTCTATGTAAATATGTTCGGTTAGCTGACCGCTGTATTTAAATCCCTGTTGAATTTGTTAGCATGGTGAAACACAGATAACACGAGATCTGCCTTCTTAACACATTTCTAAGTGCGTGGTACAGCGTTGTTAACTCCAGCACAGGCACCGTGTTGTACAGCACCTCTCTGGGACCTTTCCATCTGGCATACTGAGGATTTTTATACCCATTGAACTCCCATTTTCCTCTCTCCCCGGCCCCTGGCCACCATAGTTCTACTTTCTGCTTCTATATATTTGATGACTTAGATACCTCCTTGAAGGGGAATCATGCAGTATTGATCTTTCAGTGACTGCCTAACTTCACTTAGCATGTAACAGAAACCTTCCTTTTTATGGTGGAAAAACCCCCCTTGAGTGTATGTAACATTTCCTTTGCCCATTAATCTGTTGCTGGACATTTGGGCTAATCTATTATGAATCACGCTGCAGTGAACACATGAGTGCAGATTCGTCTTCCAGATCCTGACTTCTGTTCTTTCGAATAAGTACCTAGCAATGGGATTGCTGGCTCTATTTAAAAAAATTTTTTTTTAGGAAGGTCCTACTGTTTTCCATGGTG